TTTTTTTATAATGTATTTACTATTTTTTTTGAACCAATACAGACAATATTGAATTAGTTATCAATAAAACAATTAAGCGATGGGAAATTAAATATGAAGAAATTTAGAATTTTGTTACAATAAAATTATTGAAGTTGTATTAACACTGTTCCAATAATATAATAATGATGTAATGTGATTTTTTTATTTATATTTTCTTTTCATATCTCACTCAGGCTTGGTCTTTCTAGTATACCGTGCACATAAACCAAAACCAAATCACTTATTTAGTGGCAATATCCTTGCAAATATTTGGTCCCTTGTTTTTTTTTTTTCTTATAAATATACATATTATAGATTATTATTGATTAATCATTTTGAAAAAACTTCATGACTAGAATTATATCTAAATGCTTGTAATAAGAATGCAAACTGTAAGAACATAAAATCTACAATTTTATGAAAAGACACTATACCGAATGACAAATTTACAATCAAATTCTTGGTGCATTAGTAAAACAAATATATGATTATTCATATGCGGAATTAATACTGTTTATATGTAGTAGAATATATCAATAAACTAGTGGGGCGCATAGCATCGTGCCTTAAGGCAAATTGCTGGAACTTCCCGTACCGTAATTAAATAATCGAGGAATGAAAATTTACATAATATTGTTTAGGATTATTTATTACATACTGTAAACTTATAGGTGCTTTTTAATTTGATAGATTTTGTTTTAACACTTTCCACTCGCGAATTCCGAGATTTATATGAATTTTGCCGCCGAAGCTGCGACATCCGAGTCAAAAGGGTTAAATTATAACTTACACGGTTTTAATCTGTACTTGTTGGCGGTTCAATCATAACTGACCTTCCCGCTCAATAATAATTTAGTAAGTTTACCTGATTCGACAATCATTGTACGAATAAGGGTCGATTTATGAAATTTTTATATTAATGCTGGATTTGGTACTAAACTTTCAAACTTATCTTAATAAAGATCTGAAAACATAAAATAGTGCTTAATAAATAATAGTTCTCAAAAACTTAATTTGATTGACCAAAATTTGAAAAATATTTGATTGACAAAAATACTATAAGAATTAAATATAATGATGTATATATAGTATTAACTTCCTCACATTACCTTAAATCGATTGTAAAAAGTTTAGGAAACTGCAGGTGTAATAGAGATCACGGTATCACTGGCGGCTATATGGTATAGAGACTATCTTACGATACTACTCGGTCATTTACTGTTCATTTTGAAACACATGTAAACTTATTGTATATATTCTATTATTAAGTCCAGCTGATATATTGCGACATCATTACGGTACTTTTGATAAATAGGTCTCAGATAAACAATAATGGAAGCAGATTAGTTTTTCTATAAGCTTTTAAATTTAAAAATAACGCTCACAAAGCAAATTCCGCACGTGTATACGTCTGTTAATACGTGAATCAGCTGTGAATGCTCAAATCATGACTCATGACTTTAGATTTATATTGAAATGAATCACTTTCAAACGAACAAACTTGTTAAATGCTAAATAATGCATTAGATATACGGAAACGATGTAGATATGAACGAGAAACGATTAGGTAATCGTTTATGAATTTATCGAATAGAGAAAAAATTCTTGTTATAGACTTAATCGTATTTACATTGGTTATGTATTTAGGATATTGTGAAACTCGGTTTTTTGGTCATCTGTTCATTTTTAATAAAGAGCCTATCGTGGTGTAATAGTTAAGGACATGGGTTAGCACAAACTAGTTCTGGGTTCGATATTAACCTCAACCAGCTCCACATCAAGAAGCTTGATACCAAATTTACACTGAACTTATTAGATCTCAAATATCATCTCAAGTGAAAATTGCATTTTGTGAATATTCCTGCCACATAATATGTAGAGCTCACACGTAAAAAAGAGTTATTGACCGCTGGGTTGCCCTCTCGAGAAAAATACTAGGGCGTTATTAAAGTGGACCTTTTTACCCGCGGATTTTTAAGCCCAGCTTTACTTTATATTTGTATTTGTTTTTATATTTATATTCTCTTTCTAATTCAGCAATATCTATATATCATATAATTAAATGTTTGTCTAGCAAAAAAATAGAGAAAATGTTTTCAAAAAATACAAAAGAAGTGAAAAATCTGAATCGAAATTCGATTAAAAACGTCCATAAAAAGACGATAATTGATTAGTTACCGATCAGGTAAAAAATGAATAATAAAATTAGGAGGTACGATAAGAAGGTGAAAATTGAGGGTTGCATCCGTGCTTCATTCAAACTGAGCTTTTTCATAGGCTGAAAAAAATCTTAATCCACAATCATTCAAAAACGTCTTCTGACAGTAATCGGGTTGAAAAATTATGTAATCGCTATAATAATTCTTACGAAATAGGGGTTTGTGGGGAGATGGTGAAAATTTAGGGTTATGTGTTACAGGTTTAGGTGATTGAAAACTATTTTGTAATGTAATTCTCCAGAAAAAATTTAAATTTTTAAAGCAAATTTCCAGCGCATACAACAATTAAATATTCTGCGAAATTCTTTATCTCTATTTGCATAATTAACAATAACTAGTAGTAATATGTGAAATCGATCTGAAGCTGTTGAAATATATTGAATATATTATTATATAGAATATATTATTGATTATACCAATGATTTTGTACACTTACACAGAATGTTGACTCATTGTATCTAAATACTACTGATATTGCTAAAATAGATGTAAATAACGCCTCTTAAGTTTCATCATGTATCAAACTTTCAAAAAATTGCAAAGTGCTATTTTATATGTAAATTATAAACAAAATCAATAAAAATTTAGTTTAAAATTTTTAAAAATAGTGACAATAAGGTTTGAAATTTAACATGGCCTATTATTTCAAACATTGATGAATGTTAGTAATAAAACCACTTTTTGTAGGCCTATAATATTTTAATATATTTGTTAAGACCATACGTTTGTCATTGTCATCATATATAGTTTTATTATAATCGTCATTTTTTTCAACAATTTATTAGGAATAAATGGTCACGCCAAGCTTTACCAAAAATTGTTTAGCACGCTCTTCAACTGATACATCTTTCAAACGATTATTAGATTTCCTCCTTCCAGAACTTTAAGAAAAAATGAGGGTTATTATGCATTTAAGCCAAAAATTTTAACAAACAGTTCTTATTAAATGCCATGATAAACTAGCTCTATCTTTGCAATTTTTTCTATAAAATATGGAAAAGAAATCAAGAAATTCAAACTGTTATTAGATTTCCTCCTTCCAGAAATTAAAAAAAAATTGAGGGTTATTATGCATTTAAGCCAAAAATTTTAACAAACCGTTCTTATTAAATGCAATGATAAACTAGTTCTATCTTTGCAATTTATTTTTATAAAATATGGCAAAGAAATCAAAGATTCAAACTGTTTGCTTCGGACTTATATATTTTCAAGACAGAATGAAATATTAATTACCAGTATCATTAAGCCAAGAGAAATGTTTAATGTAAATAATAGTTAAGTACTACAATAAAACTTGAACTGAAATAATTTAAATCTTCTATTTAAATTATTTTTGATTTACAGTTGAAAATACTCAAATAACATTTATTTGGAACTATCAACTTCAGAGATTTATATGATGTTTTCACTTTATCGATTAGAATAGCAATTACTCTGGAATTTTAGCGCTCCCAATTATCACTCTAAATCAGTTATCCCTAACAAAGTGAAAGTAATTAATAGGATTTGCATAAGTAATTTGCCTTTAAGGAAAAAATGAAAAAATCTAAAAGTGGCCCATAAAGAAAATGCATGAGATTTTTAAAAGCATTTTAGTCGAATTTTGGTGTTTAGCATCAAAAGGAATTTTATACGACTTGAAAGCTCCGCCATAGAGAGTACTAATATAATATGGTTTCAACTACTTCTAACTAATTTTACATGTGGAATGGGCTTGTTTTGCAAAAAATATGAAACAGATAGTTAGAGTTTGTCAAGCATATTAATTAATAAACAGCAATCAAAATTACAAATAATTATATAAGCTATTCTGCTAAGATTTAACAACAAAAATAAATAAACATAAAGTTATTATAAACATGGAAAATATCTGCGATATGATATTCACTCAGACACCGACATAATAAAATAAATAAAATAAACAAATTAATTATGATTCATCAATCATTGTGGCAATTAAAATATTTAATAAATTATTTTAATTATAATATAATATGACATATATATTATATAAAAAACATGCGATATAAAATGCTTACGTTCATATCTATCTTAAATATTTATCTTACCATAAGATATTTCAATATGAAAAACAGTATGAAACTTCTGCAAATGTAAATAATTATCAGTTCAAATAAAATAATGCATTCGATTTCTTGCTAACGCCTTACAGATAAAATACAAATAAAAAAATCAAAAAATCAATCAAAACATGTTAATTAAATATGTCCATTAAAATATTTATTTGCAGAACCGAATATTTCTTCCTGAGTATATAAAAGTGTCTAGTACTTTCCTGTTTGCAAAGAAAACTCATATAAAGTTTTTACTTCACACTTTTGTCAGATTTCTTTTTGTGTTATCTATATTCAATATTATCGTCACAATATATATAAAGAATCTAATACTAAAATTATTTAAATATACTTTATCTGCATTGGCTTTGTATTTTATATTAATTTACTAATATGATGTATGTGTTTAAAAGTATTTTGTGCATTTGAATCAAACTTATTTTATTCAAAGATTCTTTAATATAAAAAGATAGAAAATAATTTAAATATTATAGTATTTTTAAGAAGGTTTGTTGCATCAAAGCAAACTAAGATAATAAATACATATTATCTCACTTAACGTATTAATAAATATAAGTAGTACTAGTTGGTATCTACGAATATTTTTATTATACTTTGCCATATCTTTACGTTGATAAAATTAAAATATCAAATATTTACCAGTATTTGTTTATTTTGATTTCAGATTTTTAGAAAATCAGCAGAAGAAATAGAAGCTCAGTTTGGATTTTCCAGGTACGTAATTTAGAAATTATACCAGCTTGGTTGAAAATAAAACACGATGATACAAAATTATATAGAAAAATAAAGATTATCCAAAATGTTTTCCTATTATGCATGATGTTACTCCTTTCAAGTGGAGACGACAAACATCAAATCAGAAAAAAAAATTTTAGAGGATTTTTAATTTTCACAAAAAAAATTATAGAGGAGACTGGGCACGATTGTGCCACTTTTTTGTTTTATTCAGAAATAATCTTATTTAAAATAATTGGATTATTTAAATCAAAGTGTGTCTAAAATTCTGCATATGTTCGGATAACATTGTTTTGTATCGATTTTTATTTTTTGAATCATAATTATTTTGAAGCATTCTCTTCTATAAATATTGTGAACTCTCTCCAATATAGAATTTATCACAATCATTACAATTCACTTTGTAATCGGAGTCAATAATTCTATTATGGGAAGTTTTTGATTTTAAAGAAGTATATAAAGCATTTAAAGTATTATCAAAATTGGAAACTAAAAGAAAACCTTCTTCAGAAAAAATCTTTTTCAAAAAATAAGTAAAACTGCCTCAAGATAGTAAAAAACTCATACCTTTATATTTATTTAAAAAAATAAAGAATTAATTTAACTAGTATCAACAAGTAACAAAAGGTTATCATTATTATTTATTTTATTATCTTCTTCTATTATATATATAAAAATAAGTCGGGTTTTACAAATCCGAGAATAAGGATTATGGAATACATTCATAATAACAATTTAATGAACATAATTGGCACTAGCTTGTAACACAACAACCAGTAATTGTGGGTTCATTGGCGAAGTGTTGATGAATCTTAAAAATGTGACTATCCGACGCATTCGAGCCAAAGTTACTGTCTGTATTTAATATAAATATAAATATATATATATATATATATATATGTATATTTATTTATAAACATTATATAATCAATATATCTTAGAATTTGATATTTATCAGCAGTACTATCACTAAGCAATTCATGTTGAGTTTGATTACAACAGTAGATGATGTACCTACATACACTGGTCGCGTGCGTAGAGACGGTTTTGTTCTGATATGAGAAAGAACAAATGCAACTGGCTTGCAATCAATATAACGGCAACCAGAAAGACATAATTTACAAATGAGTTTATAAATTTGTAATCGCGAAGTGTAGAAAAACGGCCTTATATGCTGTTTAGATAAAAAGGTTGCGTGTCCGCAATGAACTGCCCTCGCGTGGCACATATAAAATCCAGTCAAGTGCCAGCCCAACTCTTTTACTGATCAATTGAGGAATTTATTCATGCTTTTGGTATGTGAAGGTCCTTTACTGATGACCGATTTATTCATGATACGTGGAAAATGTAGTAAATAAAATTTTTATGTACTTCTCTATAGCTAATATAATTCATTATGGAAGCCAGTGGTGGATGGCATCGTGCCTTAAGGCAAATTGCTGGTACTTTCCTTACCAAAAATTAAAATTTTCATGAAAGCTTTAAAAAATTTTAAAAACTTTAAAAAACATTTTTGAGAATATTGAAACTTTTTGAATTTTAAAATATTTTGAAAATTTTGACCTTTTTTCAAAGGAATTGCGCTGCGGTGGCTATGTAGAGACAAAATATCGACGCGCGTATTTGTTCGCAAAATAGCATTTTCTTTTACTTTGTCTGGGAAATCGCTAGACCTGCGTTCCCAAAAATTTAATCAATTTTTTAATTTAATACAAATAAAATGTTTTTTGAATCATTCAAATTAGACGCTCCGTTTTCCCAAAAACTGAATTGCCATTTTTGGTTCTTTTTGATTCATTTCATCGAAACACCTGCCTTTTCCAAAAACTAATCAACACATCTCCCTATCAATGTTTTTTTTAATTATTCAAATCGGTTGATCCGTGTTCGCGAAATCGTCGACAAAAATTTGTATCAGCACACTCACACACACGCACACACACATTTATTTTTTCTAATGTATGCCAAAATGTTCAGAAACCTTTTAAACGTAAAGACATATAAAATTTTTCATTTTCAATTTTTTGCGATTACTATAACTTACCCTGGGGGAAGTTAATTATATTAATTATAGTGCAAAACATGCGCTAGTATGTCCTCAAAGACTGATGAATTTTCATAACAAAACTATTTTTCGTGGACCTTAATATTTTAAGACGTTCGATTTAATCATGCTGTGTATCAATATGTTAGACTTATTATAAACGTCAAAAAAATGGTTTAACATTTAATTATGAGGAAACGGTTCAGCCGATCTTATTGTTAGCCAAGAACTAATCAGCATTTGAGTTGAAGACTGCAATCAATTGTATAAGACATGTACTTCAGGTTGGTATTTATGATATTTTGTTAGATTTATCAAACAAACGTGACATGTTTACTGGATTATTTGCAATGAAGAATTTATATCTATAACTAGTAGGTACTTATTAATTTTAATGAATTTAACTGTACCATTAGTAATTAAGAAGATGAAATGAGAACATGCACATTCCGCTTGGGCGTAAAAATTGATTTTTAGTTTCTTTTAATAATAAACGTAATTAGAGGTATAATCAAATTATAGCCGCCTATCAAGCGTTGCACGTGCAGCAATGAAAATCCATTAGTATGCATCTGCAATTAATTTAATTAATGAAAATCATAAGCGTCTTTATTCACTATTACTGGAATTTCGTGCTTGGCGGAACGCTCGAATCAATTTAGTCAGACGAGTGGGTAAAGCGAGCAACACTTTCGACACTGACTACGACGAAAACTAGATCCTTGCATGTAATTTAATTAATGAAATGATTAAGTAAATTTAATTTAAAATTCATATATATATATATATATATATATATATATACAGCTATAGAAACAAAATTTCTCGATTATTATTTCTAATAATTATTTACAAAAACAGAAACTTAAACGGCAGTATTATTGGACCATTTTACAATATTTTAAACTTTTAAATAATTATTAACTTCCCAAAGGAAAAGTTTATGTTTTCATAAAAAAATCCGATTTGCTAATTTTATGTTTTCTCGACGTTTCAGGCCGTTTTGAATCGAATGAGACCAAATTTGGAAAAAGTATGTATGTGTGTGTGTGTCATGTGTGTATATGTGTATTTGAACAGATTTTTTGCCGTAAATCGACGATTTCTCAAAAACGGCTAGACCGATTTCAAAAATTTCAAGCCATTCGATGTATCTTGACGAGGACTAGCGTTTATCAATTTTACACGACGATCAGCCAAGCTTTGTAAATCGCAGATGAGTAAAAAAATTTTCGTTCACGTTTTAGCCCGCAATTCTGAATCGATTTTGAAAATTCAAAAACTGTTCGAAAGATATTGGTTGGGAATCGCGCTGATTAGTTTTTGGTAAAGATTGGCCGGGCCGTTTTCTTGTAATAAAGTGTTTGACGGTAGATACCATAGTCTTCTAGATTATACTAAAATATTACGGCCCTACGACAAGTCGTTTAATTTTAAAAAATCGTCAAAGTTTGCAAAAATTAGTTTCGTTTTTTTTGGCGTTTGTCAAAATTAGACCTTTCATCGACATTTGCTCAGAAACGACTGAACCGATTTCAGAAATTTAAAAGCCATTTGATGTATCTCGATGAGGACTATCTTTTCTCAGTTTTGTGCGACGATCAGCCGAGCCGTTTTTTTGTAATTTGGAAAAAAGTGTTGAACTTTTCGTCCACATTTAAGCTAATACTACCGAATCGATTTTAAAAAATCAAAAACAGTTCGAGAGATATTAGTTGGGAATGATACTGATGAGTTTTAGGTGAAAATCTACCGAGCTGTTTTCTTGTAATTAACAGTTGAAAAAAAAATTTAAGCCGATTTTTATGGAACTTTTTTTGGCAATATATATCATGGTCTTATAGAACTTACTGAAAATTTATGGCCTTACAACAAGTAGTTTAATTCTGAAAATTCATCAAAGTTTGAGAAAATGAGTAGTTTTTTTGACGTTGACTAAAATTAAAATTACACGATTTACTTGGCATAACAATAGAGTACTTGGTCTTAATGAACATACTAAACTATTGAACCCCTACGGAAACTGGTTCAGTTATAAAAATTGTTGATTTTTGAAAATTTGCTTTTACAAAATACTCCGAGTTAACCGTGTTCGTTCGTTTTCATTTTCAAATATGTGTAATAAATCCACTCGGAATACTTTTAATCACTCATAACTTACATTATTTTTTATTGATTGAGTCGATTATTTACACATATCGGGAAGTATATGTAACTTGCCCCTAGGAAAAATACGAATACCAACTAGTTTATCTAGGCCTCTGTATTACTATATAGTTTAGTAAAAATAAAAAATATTGTCGGCAATAATAATAACTGCACACAGAAAACAAATTTGTTATACTTTACACAGAGATATTTAATGGGTACTTAAAAACAAGCCAAGAACTTTATTATATGATGTTTTTATATACTCAAAGTATTGACAATTGTTCAATTATCTTATCCATTTTTCTACACCTGTATATTATAATTTCAATTTTTAGTAATATTTTAAACAAATTATAATAATCGGTCATTTCCGTTGTTATCCTTTTGTTATTGCCGTAATTTAAATGGCATTATCTTCTTAAAAAAGTAATAGCTATTCTTAATGTAATGTAATGACGGTTGAGAAACTACAGAGAGTAAAATTGTACAATTGTCTGCCAGCACTTTATATATTTTCTTGCTGCTAGTAAATCTAACAATAAAACTGAAACAAAGTTGGTTTTCTTGAAATCTCGATGTAACTCATTTACATGTGTAATAATGTTTTCAGAACTTTTATAAAGGTTGCGTAATAATAAAATATTGAAATAATATAATTAATAAATTTAATATTAAATGTCAATTGTTGTTCATCACTTAATCATTAATTAAAGATCACATCAGTTATTTTTCTAAAGTGTAGTAATTGTTAAGAAAGAGAAAAGACGGAGACAGAATTAAGGCA